TTTCAGAAAATATTAAAATAAAATTATTTTCAATAAATATTGCGTCAATGACTTCTTTAATGGAAAATAATTTAATTGGTAAAATTTTAAAAATAAAAATTAAATATTTTCCACTGGAGATGGGTGTATTTTATGTTCATTCTATGGAAAAATTCATTCATTTGATGGGAGCTGAATAGAACTATTATGGAAAGGAATCGTTTCCATTGCGGACATTTAACAATTTGCGTACTGGGTTAATAAATTTCTTTTCCAATTTGGAAATTAATTGGAGTTATCTATTTATATCCTTAAGTTATTCTTAAGCAGCACATAATGGAATGGACAAACAAATTATTAGTTTGTCGTAGAATATTAAGATTCTGTGCATAAATACGTGCAAAATATGCTATATGCCTAAAATCTGTGCCCTAAAATAACTGTCCGCAAATGATTACAATAATGTATTATCTTATTCCTTTTCACTTTTCCCCTCGTTTTACAGATAACATCAACATGCTCTCAATAAACACAAATTCAAATAAAAATGGTAGGGGATTTTTTAGCAAAAATTTATTATTATAAAATTCCAAAGGAATAATTAATCAACACTCTTCCTCACCATTTTCTCCCACACTGAAGCGTATAGTAAAAGCTGAGGAAGCTAAGGAAAAAAGAAAGGCATTTAAACAGACTGGTGGGAAAGTAAGATTTTTATGAATTTTTAATTAATCAAAATTTTTAATTAATTAAAACTTGAGCAAAAACTTATTTTTTAATTTCGCAGTTTCATTTTATTTGCACTTATAAATCGAATTAGGGTTTTGGTTCGAAAACTGAAAGCTCTCTAATTTTTCAATTTGGTTCCTTGAGTCAGTTCCGAATATGAGAATCTTTTATTTTTTTTTTGATCGGGGAAAAAAAATTTTTTTTGATCGACCTTTTCGAATTTGAAGTCCACGGTATTTTTATGAAACGGCATTCCATTCCTTGAAAAATTTTGATAGGCTCTCATGATTTTTTTTTATCAGATCATCCCTTTGATACAATCCTTAGAGAGTTACACAATCTCTCTATACAAAAATATAAGTACTAAAATAAATTGGAATATCTTTGCTAAAGAAAGTAATATACATAAATAAAAAAATAATTGTATTTTTACATATTAAGTAATTTTGATAAATTTACTTTTATGATCAAATGCCTACTTTCTTGATTATTCCAAAGGGTTAATCCTTTATAATGTTGATCCATCCAGCAACATTTAAAACTTTTTGAATGAGAGTTGTAGGCTGTTGTGTGCACAGGCATAGGTGTAAGTGAGTTCAAGCGAACAATTTTATCGCAGGTTCGAAGTATGCCTGTTGGCTGCCCCTTTGCTAAACTCTTAGTCCTGTAAGAGTTTACAAAGCCCCTGTAAATTTCGCCTAACTCTAATAAGCCAGAATTTCAAGATCCAACAAGCTCCTATCTTTCTAGGCCGAGCCACTCTGTACTTGACATCATTAATATGACAAATTTATTTTCAGTAATATTATCTCGCAACTTGCATAAAATACTATTTTTAGCCCAAATCCTTAAAAAAATTAAAATACTTTTAAAATTAAAAAGACTATAATTCTCTTTATTTTCCAAAAATAGTCTCGTTCCCTTGGCAATTCCGAAACCTTATCAACAACAATTACAAATTCTTCAATGGCTTCTTCACCTTCTCGTTCTGCCGGATTAATGGGTCGATCTGAATCTGTCAGCAGACATTCTATTAATTTAAATAACGACAAAAAGAATATTTATTTGACACCTAAAAGTAGTGGAAATCCTTCTCCTTCACATTTGGCTGTTCCTAAAAGTAGTGGACAACACAATTTTGTTAAACGAAAATTGTCTGATTCGGCTAGTGAAGTGGTACTGTTTGTTATATTTTTTGTTTTACAATCAGGCCTCATTATAAGATACATTCAATACTGAACTCGAGAGTACACCTATAAGTAAGAGAGATACTATAAGATACACCTCTAAGTATTATATTCACACTTCTCATTATATTTTGTGAGTAGTATATTTTACTCCATATCGCGAAGAGCAATTATCATTCTAATTAAGTATACGGAAATTATGTTAACTTCAACATACAAACTTAGCAAGATAAGTATTTTTGAATAGGAAGTCTTGACTTCTTAAACCTCAATTCAAGTAACAGACTTTAGGTACATTATAAACTACGGTCAAGATTATAACATATTTTAAGTTGCTTCAGGATTTAGTGTAGTCGAACGGTACTACTCACTACTTTAGAAATGATTGTGAAAAAAAGGGCTCGGATTCGTACTTTATTTTAAAGTATGTACTTTAAAATCGACATTTTGGAAAAATGGAGGAAATCTGGCCTTAGGACCTCCAAAATTCTCAAAATTTTCGCCTGCGGCGCAATTTTGGATTTAAAAAACTTTTTTTGTGGCACCTTCGGCGCCACAAAAAAGTGCATCGAAATGCATAGAATGCTCAGTAGAAACAAGAAATTATTAGAAAAATTCATTTAGGAGAGAAAATAAAAGATTTGAGCACGAATAAATATGTTCTAATTTAATTTTGTTGTACTTTAAATTTAGAAATTTTATCCCTATGTATTATACTTTGAAATCAAGATTTTTGTACTTTTGATTAGCGTTTGTCGATCTGAGTACTGATCTAAATCAAATGGGTGAGCCCAGATACGTGCAGGGCAAGGGAGATAGGAATAGTTTATGTTACTGAAAATAGGTTACAAAAAAATCTGGTTACAATTTCAAAAAATTACAATTTTTACCCGTTTGAAGGTGTCATTTAATGAGGTCCGAATGTTCTTGTCTAAACGTAAAAAAAATTTTTAAGAGCGATTCAATGAATATGACCGGGAAGCGAATTTCAAATCAGGCGCAACAAATTGTAAGAAATTTAACGGTTACTAAGGAAATTTTGTTATTAGTGGTTATAAAAACGGGTTAATTTTAACTTTCCATTTTTGCTATATAATTTTCTTAATCTTATGTTGAACTAAGCAGTTTAATCTTTTTTACACAGCATTTATAAAAAAGTAAAAAGACAAATTTGAGCATAAGACTTTCAGGGAGTTTTTGATATCTCTCTTACAAAAATTTATACATTAACAATAGGAATGAAAGAGTAGTGACTGTACAAACTTTTTATGTAAATAAAACAATATTTTTGCATATTGAGTAGAGCATTATATAGACATTGAAAAATTTATTTTTTACTCGAATAAATTTAACTTTATTCAATCCTCAATCAGCTGACAAAAAATTTAATTTTTATCTTGTTTTAATCATTAAATTTTCTAGATTCTTTCTTGCATCGAAAAATCACGTGTAGATCCTTCCAGCCGAGTTTTAAATCGAATGGTTCACAACCGGGCAGATTTTGCTACTTTTTGTGTTAATCTTGGAGAGGAAAATTGGACTAGACTAGCTGACCAATTCAGAAATTATTTGACTGATGTTTTGAGTAATTTGGCTAATACAGAAAAGGTACTTGTTAAAAATATTTTTAAATTATAATGTAATTTACTTAATATATAAAATTCGATAAAAAATTTGATTAAATAAGAATTAAACAAACTAGTTTTATACAAATTTTGACAACGTAGGCACATTTATATTTTTGAATAGGGAGATTTTAAATGACTCCCTAAAAACATAAACAAATTAATCTGACGTGATATTAGCAAAATGGAGAACGACAGCTTTTAAAGATTATAACCAATTTTTTCTGACATTTTTAGATTGACAATTAATTAATAATTTTTAGATAAGACGCCTCTCGATGCAATTTGGCGCTGAACAAGTCGCTCGACGCCCTTTTGGTTTTAAGGCTGATTTCTTTGCGGAGATGGCTAGCTCGTTAACCACTGAATGTGTTTTTCTGGATGGCGCTGCACATTCTGTAATTGTTTAAACTTTTAATTTAAAAATACAAAAATAGTGGATTGTAGGTTGTCTTTTCGGCTCTATCTTAGGACATGCGTCCCATGAACATTTATGCGTCCCATAAACAAAAAATTGTATTTTTCTTGGTGTTGCAAAGTTGAGGTATGGTTCCAAAGCATTTCTTCATGTTCGGCACCTACGCCCACTGGGTCTGGGACCGTTTCTTGCCCTATCTCTCGAAATTTCTGAAAGTTATAGCCATTTTTAAAAATTTCAGAAAAACGATTTTAACTTTCAGAAATTTCGATGGATAGGGTAAGGAACGGTCCCAGATCCAGTGGGCGTAGGTCCCGAACATGAAGAAATGCTTTGGAACCATGCCTCAACTTTGCAACACCAAGAAAAATCCAATTTTTTGTTTATGGGACGCATAAATGTTCATGGGACGCATGTCCTAAGATAGAGCCGTCTTTTCTGATTTTAAATGAATTATTTTCTGTTTATTCTAATTTTTATTTATTCTGATTTTTCATAATATGTAAAAATACATTTATTGTTTTATTTATATACAATTATTTTTCGATTATTAATGGCATTAATAATTATTTTATTCGTATTTTTGAATAGAGTTAAGTAATACTCTAAAAGTGCTTATTATTTTGATATTTTCGTTTGTTCTTACTTGTCTGTTTAAAAGCAGTATACCCAAAGTCTTTAGCATAGTCAATTGCGTATTTATGAATCTTTATTTATTCAGGTCGTGTGTTTGTGTTATTTTTATTTCGTTATTCTGATTTTTAATTATTTTGTATTTTTTGTTTATTCTGATTTATGGTATTTAATTTGTTTGTATTGTTTATTTTAAAGGCTGAAGAAATCAGAAGGAAATAAACCCCCCAATTCTGTTTTGTAATTTTTACACGTTTTATTTTTGTATTTATTCTGATTTTTGAATGATTGAATGATCTGAATTGTATTCATTGAAATTTAAAATGCTTTTACATCAATAAAATATTAAAAATATCCTGTACAAATAAATCAAAATTAAATTTATAGCCAACAGACACTTTTGAGGCATGGGCCCAACTTGTGGAATTAATGTTTAGCGCTGTGAGGGATGGTAAAAATTAATTTTAAATTTCTGAAAAAATTCTTTTTAATTTCAAGGCTATTATTTATTTGTCAGAAAGCTGCGTAGAAGCAATTTCTCTCTAGGCCAAAATGGCTGTGTTATTGCTAAATCATCCTCAAAAAATGAAAAACAAATTAATTATTGTGATAAAAGTGCGAAAGAAGAATTTAAGAATTGTGGGGGGAGACAAAGTGTTTCTTTGGAAATTTAAAAATATTTTTACATAATATATATTTTTTTATTTAATATTTGAATATATTTGGAAAACTTCAATAACTATACAATGATTCATATTTGCTTAAAAAGATAGTAAATCTGTTTTCTTCTTTATGTCACACTAGAATAGGGTTGGCGGTTCCGGGTATCCGGAACCGAAAAAATCTCGCATATCCGGAAATCTTCGGTTCGGATATTCGGTTCCAGATTCCAGTTCCGGATATCCAAAATTTTCTGTTCGGATATCGGTTCCGGGTATCCGGAGATTTCCCAGGAACCGCCATCCTTACACTACATAGAATGCCTAATTATAGCCCAATAATACACTATTTTTGCATTGTAGTTATTCTAGTTTTCTCTTAAAAATGGCGAAATATGGAAGAATATGTAAGTCCACATTTTTGAAAGCAACCATTACGGAAAGTGTGTTTTTCGTGAGTTTCAGAACCTAAGCAATTCATGAAAAAATATGGATTTTTATATAATTTCGCACCTTACTAATAACTAAATTTTTATGCATATCTAGTTGAAAAAATTGGATTTAAAAAAATAATAAAAAGAATTTGTTTTAGAAACAAACATAAATGTGTGTATGTGTAATACTTTCAAATGGAATGTTTGATCAAATGTACACTTGGACGGGCAAATGTACATTTGTACATTCATTTTAAAAAATCAACTTTCCTTTCTGTTTAATGGTATAGTTCCATAACATTCTTCGTGATCGGGACTTATGCCAACTTGGTTTGGGACTTTTTGTTAGTTATTTCCCCGAAGTTCTGAAATTTATGATAGTTTTCTTGACTTTTTAAAAATTAGCTATAATTTTCAGACATTTTGAAGATTAGGGGAAATAACGGTCCCAGTATAAACCTAATCGGGGGCAAACAATGGAAGAAATATTACTTGTTGATCATCCAAAATTTTAAAAATTTGCTCTGCGGTGCTAAAAGTATGAGAAGATCACCCTTGAAACTCAAAGAAAAATTGAACATTTTATGGAAGGAAAAATCGTATAGATAAAAACGATTCAGCCCTTATTTCCGTATAGGGCCGAAAATTTGATTTTTTAAAATGAACGTGCACTTTTCAAAAATTTTTTGGAACATAAAATCAAAATGTTTTCAATATCTTTTTCGGTACTTTTCGGTTATGAGGTCACACTTTTAAAAAGTTCTCAAAATGGTCAATATATTGAGTCGAACGGTACCAATCTTTTTTCACGGAGATTCTTGTGGACCGAGATATAGGGCTCGAAATGGTCAAAAACCATAGGGAGTAGTAAGCTCATTTTTGGTGTGAAAAATTAAATTTTTTGAATGATAGCTCATTCGAAAGAGTTCCTCGAGCTGAGTCGAATGACACCAAAATCAGTTCGAAATCTTGATTCTGAGAGCAGATGAACAGGCTCAAAATGGTCAACGCAAACCTATGGAGCCTATGGTTTTTGACCATTTCGAGCCCTATATCTCGGTCCACAAGAATCTCCGTGAAAAAAGATTGGTACCGTTCGACTCGGCACCTTTTTCTACCCTATATATGATATATTTACCATTTTTAAACTTTTTAAAAAGTGTGACCTCATAACCGAAAAGTACCTCTTTTTCTTCTTAATTTTTCTTCGACTATTTCTTTATCAACTTTTTGGCCATTTTCATTCCCTTTTTAAAAGGTTTCTCTAAAGGAAATATAACAGAAGTTGGCCAAACAATGCGTTCGTTTTCTTCTTTATCTTTTAAATTATAAATTATTTCAAAAAAAATTTTTTTAAATTAAATTACCAGCAATTTTTGAAATTAATTTTCTAGCAAATTTAAGGCAATTGTTAGTAATAACATTGTATGTTTTTTTTGTGTAATCTTCTGCAAAGTTCTTATCAATTACTTCAACAATTTCAGCAAACGACAAATTTGTTTGAGCATTTCGACTTTCTCCATGTTCATTTTTTATAGATATCTCATCATATTCTCTTTGAAAAATTTAAATTATAGAGTTAATTAAACATTTATTCCGTAATTCCTCTAATTAAATAGAATGCCATGGCATTCTACTTTTCAATCCCTTCCCAACGTGTTGTTAACCAACGGCAAGTGGGATAATGTTTTTTTATCTTCGCTGGAAAAACTATTTTTGTGCTGCTCCGAAGAGTAGGCCGGGCATGGCCAAGCTTCATCTCGACTAGCTCTTTCGAATCAGATATCATTTGAATATTCGAATTTTTACCCAAAATCTAGCCCCATTGCCTGTATCATTGCGAGTTTTCGTCTCCCGCAGAAAATTATTGCTTATGTGAATTCAGCTCGGCGTGACGAATCGAATGGTATCTACAACGATTTCGATCTCGTTGGGCATACTAGGTGGGCGTAAAGCAAAATGATTCGTCTAAAAATATTGAATATTCGATAAAATCGTTTTGTATTGAATATAGTGGAAAAAAAATAGAAGATGGAATTCTCCTAATAGAGGAAATACGGTAAGTAAATACTTAAAATGTCCGCCAGCAAATTTTGTATGAAAATGTTTTGGTACCCAATATTCCAATCCTGGACGATGAAAATGTATTTCTAAAAAATTATTAAAAAATAACATTTTTAATATTTAAATTTAATAATAACCAATTCCACAAACATATACTCCTGCATGAAAAACACCAACTTTTGGCGAATTCTGAAATTAATTAAAATACATTCCTCATTTTTCTTCACCACTTCTAAACTCGTACTTAAATTAGTAAAGGTTTTGTACCTTTCAGGGTTGCCGCGGGTACAAAAAATCTTCGGGTACGGGTTTCGGGTATCGGGTTGGAGCGTTTTCATTTCGGGTATCGGGTTTCGGGTTGGCAAAAATATCGGGTACGGGTTTCGGGTTATAAAATTTTCATTTCGGGTCACGGGTTTCGGGTTGGCAAAAATTTCGGGTACGGGTTTCGGGTTTGGCGAAAAATTCGGTTTATTTTCGGGTGTTCGGATATTGGTGAGCTAAATTGTAAGGAGATAAGCTATGTTGCATAATAAGATTTTGGGTGATATAGAGAGGCAAATTTGAAGAGATTAAAGAGACATTGTGGGATTTGGGGATTAAGAGGGATATCTTGGTAAAATCCCACCCTAATAAAATCCCACTATATAGTAATATTCCTCCGCTTTATCTCCATTAAAGCCTCAAAATTTCTTCCATTTTTTGCGCCGCAGGCGAAAATTTTGAGATTTTTGGAAGACCAAGAAGCCAAATCTCCTCCATTTTTGCGCCGCAGGCGAAAATTTTGAGAAATTTCAAAGGCCAACAGTCATATTTTTTCCTTTTTTTCACCGCCGGAGGCGAAAATTTTGCAAAATTGATGACTAAATTAAAATTTTTAATGCTTTTTCAAGCTTAAAACATTTAAAAAAATAAATTTAAAAATCTAAAATGAAAATCGAAGTTTAAAAAACATTTATTTCCGAAAAGAAAAATTTTTAAAGCATTTTTTCAGCACTGGACTCGAACCCACACCTGTGAAAATATCGAGGCAGCACCTAACCCATTCAACCACCGATCACATAATTAAAAATGTTGAAAAAGTTATAAATATTTCCTTTTATTTTCCTTCTTTCTCTTTCTATAATTTTTTAAATTTATTTTAAAAGATCGGGTAAGGCTAAATTTTCGGGTAGAAATTTCGGGTTTTAACCAATTTCGGGTCACGGGTTTCGGGTTGGAAAAAATATCGGGTACGGGTTTCGGGTTTCGGGTTGGAAAATTTTCTTTTCGGGTATCGGGTTTCGGGTACAAAAAAAGGCCGGGTTTCGGGTTTCGGGTTTCGGGCGGCAACCCTGGTACCTTTTATGAGTACGATTAGATTTGAAATTTCGAAGCACGGATCTATGTAATTAAGTTTCATAGCAATTACTTATCAACACACATCTCTCACTCTAGTCATAATTCGGTAATCCAATATTTCATTTAGTTTGTAAGTCAGATAGGAACAGTCACTTATTTTATTTTTTTAGCTCTCGAATCCCGCGGGATAAGTGGCAAGGGACGGGAAATGCGGGGAATTCGAAACGTGGGCAGATATTTTTGGAACTTGATAATATTTGGATAACTAAGCCCCGAGTTATTCAATGTTTTCAAGTGCGCTTATAATTTTGAACAGCACTGTATAAGAAGGAACCTCCTAAGTTCTTTCGGGAATTCCCTTACCCTCAACGCGGGTATATTTTTTCAAATCAGGTATAAAATTTTCAGAACAGAAATTATTTTATTTACCTTAAATAATTTATAAGCTGCTATTTTTATTTCCCCACAACCTCCATTTTCTTTAACTATTGCTTTAAATGTTTCTTCATTAAAATCTGATTGATATTTTTCTTGGTATTTTTCAAATTTTTCATTCATTTTAATTTTTCCTAATAAATCATTAACTTGTTCATCAGTTAATTCTGAAAAATAATTAAAATAAATTTTTTTATTCTTTTAATCCTTAGTCCCTGGGCACAGGGGCACAGCAACACTTCCCCTGGGCACAGCAACACTTCGGTGAAACCAATTTTATGTTGCAGCAAAATTGGGCCCCTTCATACTGGGCTAAAACAAGGATTGACCTTCGCGAAGGGTTGTTTTCAGGATTTTGGGGCAAAGACATTTGGCCAAGTAACTCCACAGATCTGAATGCTATGGACACACAGTTTGGTCATGATTGAAGCAGAGACTTTCACGGATACGATTTACATAAACTTAGGCAATTAAGGGGGATTACAACAGGGCTGGGACTCAATTACTGTGGTTGATTGCGCGACCATAATGAGCAAGAGCAGTAAGCATTTGAACGCGTGTATCTTGGTGGAGGGAGGATATTTTGAAGATTTGTTATAATTTTTCGTTTCTTTAGATAGTAATGGACACTTTTTCATAGATTTTATAAAATTTAAGAAAATATTTGAAATAAATTTTATGCTTAAGAAAAGTACGGGAACTTTTGCCGCACCCTGTAGATAGGTTATACCTTGCTGAGGG